TCAAATGACCCCGGCTAGGTGATTATCTAGCCTCCTTTTGAAGACCTCCAGGGTAGGAGTGAGCACCGCTTCCCTTGTAAGTTGGTTCCAGATCCTAGCCGCCCTGACTGTGAAGTAGTGCCTCCTAATATCTAACCTGAATCTACTCTCCATCAATTTATGTCCATTATTCCTTGTTACTCCCAGTAGTGCTCGGGGGAACAGGGACTCTCCCATAGCCTGCTGGTCTCCCTTGGCCAGTTTATAGACGGCCACCAGATCCCCTCTCAGCCTTCTCTTGTGGAGGCTGAACAGGTTCAGGTCCCTTAACCTCTCCTCTTAGGACCTGCCCTGCTGCCCCTGATCATGCTGGTGGCCCTCCTCTGGACCCTCTCCATGTTGCCCACATCCCTCCTGAAGTGCAGTGCCCAGAACTAGACGCAGTTCTCCAACTGCAGCCTGACCAGTGTCGCATAGAGGGGGAGGATCACCTCCTTGGACCTGCTCGTGATGCATCTGTGGATGCATGACAAGGTGTGGTTAGCATTACTGACTGCGTCCTCACATTGGTGGCCCATGTTCATCTTGGAGCCTATAATGACTCCGAGATCCTTTTCTTCCTCTAACTGACGAGAAGGGAGTTCCCCAGCCTGTAAGTATGCTGCTGGTTCTTTCTCCCTAGGTGCAATACCCTGTACTTGTCAGTCAGTATTGAATCCCATCTTATTCTCATCCGCCCACCCCTGTAACCTGTCCAGATCCAATTGCAGCCTCCCTTCTAGCGTGCCCACTTCTCCCCACCTCTTAGTGTCATCTGCGAATTTGAACAAGGTGCTTTTCACCCCCTTGTCCAAGTCGCTGACGAAGATGTTGAACAGTACTGGCTCCGAGGACCGAGCCTTGGGGGACCCCACTGCCCACATCCCACCAGGTTGAAAATGACCTGCCCACCACCACTCTCTGGGTGCAGCCCTCCAGCCAATTGACAACCCATCTGACTGTGTAGGCATCAACACCAAAACCTCCTAATTTTTTAATGAGAATGGGGTGAGAGACGGTGTCAAAAGCCTTCCTAAAGTCCAGAAAGACCATGTCCACCGTGACACCTGCATCCCAGGATTTTGTGACCTGGTCATAGAGGGCCACTAGGTTGGTCTGACAGGACCTGCCTCTAATGAACCCATGTTGCTTGCCCCTCACAGATCATCTTACTATGGTAAACAGGCTCTAGTCATGAAAGATGATCCAGATGGTCTTGGAAGATCTGGAAGTCTCCTGCTCACCTTCAATTTGTCTTGTAGTTCTAATGGCTAGAAAATTATATTTAAAGGTTTGCTTTTGGGGATTGGCTTACACTAGAACAATGGTTCAGGGCAATGACAAGGGTTAATTGCTTTCTGAAAGCCTGTATGTGACACAGTTTCCTTTAAGGCCCACTGTGTCTGAAGCCAGCAGACACACAGGCTGGGAAATTGAAGACATGTACCACACTGTTCCATAACATGAACGGTGTACCCAAACAGAGATAAGGGACTCTTCAGCATGGGGGGGAGCCCTCATCTTAGATTCATGTACGGAGTAGGGGGAAGGGTAGGTGGCTGCTGCACTCTGATTTTGGCCCTGAGCCTGAGTTGGGGCCACAATCAGACCCACAGCAGTCTCCTGCCCCCCCCCCCCAACACACACACACACGTTTCCTCTGCAGTTTCTGCCTCCACCCCTTCCCCCATCTTACTGTCAGGTACAGCTCAGCTCCAGCTTGGACAAATGTATGGCAACCCTACAATAATTAGATTCTGTACCTTTTCCCTTGCAGGGTAACTGAGTTCCAGCCTGCAAAGGGAAGCTTGGGGCCCCCACTGACACTCCCCCACCCCCTGCCCCACACACGAGGGCAGGGGGCAGCAGGTTGGGAGTGAGGGATACTGGTTTGGGACTGGCCATGGATGTTTACAAATGGGTCGTGGTACAAAAAAGGTTGAGAGCCACTGGACTAGATGAACTCCTGAGATCTCTCCCAACCTTTGTTTTCTATGATTCCATGGATAGGGTGTTCCAGTTGCTCATCTCTCACAAGCAAGTGTCACTTCTATTCAGAATTCTCTGCTGTTCTACATCTGCAGCAAAATTATTGGTGCCACCCATTTTTCTCCGTGCAGTGTTTGAAAAGCCAAAATTACTTGAAGTTGTTCCCATCAGGTAGAGACAACAGGTGCAAAGTGTATTTGGAACATATTTGTAGCTGTAAATTTCAGAAGGAAATCTGCATAAGCACACACGCACATGCAGTTTAGAATACACACACAAACTATATACCAGGAGGCCATGATTTGTTTAGGGTTCTTCCCAAGAAAACTCACATGGAGGGCATGGTGAAAACTCAGATGGGATTGAACTATAAGAAATAAGTCACAGGTCTTGTTTTGAACATTTGCAAAGATTTTGATTTTTCTTGTTAGTATATATTTGCAATATACAAGGTGATTGACAGTTGGAGTTTTCCAGTGGGGGACATTGTTGTGCCAGCAGTCTCACTCTCCATATAAATTTATAAATTGTCATCTCGGATTTAGGAAGAGAGGCTTCTGACCTTTTTGGTAACTGAAGCTCTTGCTGACACTTCATTCATGTGCTTCTCTTTTGCAGTGTTGCCAATGATCTCCTTCTCTTTATAAGCCTCCCACACAGTTCTCAATGACATTTGTGTTGTTTTTACCTTCATGTACACAGCTCTGCTCATCAATGTGCTGAAGGTTCTAGTGTAAAATGTCATAGATATTTCAAAAGCAAACAAAATGAAAACCTGAAGCCTGAAACTTTCATGACAGCTATGGAAAAGGTCCAGTCTTATCAGACTGTAGCAAGTTAAAGCAGAACGTGTTTTGGGCCTATGTTCATACAGGTTCTGTCCAGAACATTCAAAAAGTTGTGGAGAGTAATATTCAACTCCATTGCATGTTTGCTTCAGTTAACATTTCTAAAAACAAGTTGTTCAAGACATTTCAGGAGAAGAAACTATGTATTATGTTGCAACACATTCACCTTAGTTCCTGATTCTCTGGTGAATTGTCACTTCACAGAACAGTAGAGATAGCTGCTGATACAGAGTCAGTCACTGAGGTCCAGTCCAGTTCCCATCAGTCAGCTGGAGTTAGATCAGGTCCCATAAAACTATAATGTCTGACCTCTTTATTACAAAGGAGAATGGTGCTCACCTTTCCTTTTATCCTGAGAACAGGTAAAAAGCAGTCAGAAAGATTGATTAACATTTTTTTGCATTAGACGAATGTTGAGAATTACTATGAAATATTGTCCAGAACCAGGCATGTGTTTATTTTTATATCCTGCTAGTTAGGAGTCTTAGGGTAAAGTTGTAAGAACCATGATCAATAGAAAATTAAACCACTCTGTATTAGCCTTGTTTCAGTTTTCATTGAAACTCAAAAAAGGGTCCACATTTGTCAAAATACTTAAGTTTCATTAATTTTTCTCAACTTAAAATGATGTATGTTTTGCATGGATACCATGTCGGTCTTAGCTTTCTTCTGAAGTGTTAATATTGCTGTGCTGTAAATTGTCTGAGGCTTTTAGGTAAATAGAAGTCTGCTGCCTTTTTTTTTTTTTTTTTTTAACAGTTTCATCTTTACAACTTAGCAGATCTGAGTATAGTTTTTGCCCACCACTGCCCAGTGGGTGTGAAACAGCCTTAGACATTCCCTCTAAAATTGGGATACATACATGCATACGTTAGTTTAGGAATTTAAAAATACTATGAGATAATTTCTTTATCATAAATCAAATTTTACAATAAAGTGATTTATGTAAATATAGTTCATGCACTTGAAGAAAAGTTGCTCAACTTATGGTGGGCTGTCCAGGATGTATCACAATTCCAAACAAATGTATACTTCTGCTTATCTTATAGCTGCAAGAGAATCAGTTTGGTTAGAAAGAGAAGAGAGAGCACGGCAACATTATGAAAAACATCTGGAGGAACGCAGAAAGAAATTAGAAGAGCAGAGGCTAAAAGAAGAGAGAAGGCGAACTGCAGTAGAGGAAAAACGAAGACAGAGAATAGAAGAGGACAAGGTAAGAGAGAGTCCCTTAAACCTCTCAGCTTGCTTTCTACTAGATGCAGTAGCAATAAGCGAAGTAGCATTTAATTTGAAAGTTATCAGCAGGCTTAGAATATAAGGCAAAATTAATTCAGGATAGATTGTAAAAGAAAGGTTTTTTAAACATTGCAAAACTGATCTACCTGGACTTGGGGAACATGTTTTATTTATAGTAGACTTGTGTTCAGTTGTGCTGCAATACCCAAAAATGAATTGTTTAGTTCCTTTCTGACTGACTCTAGCTTGCTCGCCATTTGGTATAAGTGTAGTTAAGTACTAGCTAGCTAACACGTTGCTCATTGGAAAGAATCCTGGTTTTCTTTGTTTAAAAATAACAAATTCCTGCTAAAAACCCTGCAAATTCTCTGATTAAAAAAACTCCAAATCCCCAATTAAAATGAAATGCCACTGTATATATAGATATCAGTTGAACATAATGCTTTTTGATATTTTTACCATTTTAAATCCGTTTGGAAGCCTACCAGTGTCTCGATCACTATAATAAAATAAATTCTAAATACCTATACATTTTGGCATTTGATTTTGGGTTCTTTATCATGGAAAATCAGAGCTCCCCCTGCCCCCTTTGCTCACCAAGACGTTGGTCCAGCTGCAGCTGTCACCTGCCACTGCTTTGTAGCGCTGAGCAGCCCTGACGTGCTGGTGCCCTGTCCATGCCATTGCCCCTCACTCCCCACCCACAGGCCCCCACCCCCACAGCCCTGCTGGATTGGGCCCCCAGGTACCAGGGCTATGGGGCCAAGAACCTGGGTCTGCTGCCCCTGCCCTCACAGCACTGCCCGAGCCCCAGCTGCTGCCCATGGCTCCCCCTCCCCCATGGGCACCACAGCTGGAGCAAAGCCCGTGGTGGGGGTCAGGTGCAGGGAGCCCACTGCAGACTTGGGCTCCCCACCCTCCTGCCCTGCCCCTGGGGCCTCTACAGCCCAGTGGGCAGGGCCCAATGCAGCAGGGCAGAGTAGGGTGGTGGGGGTGGCTCACCCTGCCACTGAGAGCTCCATGCTGCCATGACAAGGCGCACCCGCTGCCTGCCCAGCAGCACTGAGGGGCATAACTCCATGCTGCCACCCCCATTGCTGCTGAGCTGGCAGGGGCACTTCACCATGGCTGCATGGGGCTCCCAGCAGTGGCATAAGCCTCCCCACCCTGTTCTGCCCTGCCACACTGGGTCCTGCGTGCTGGGCCACGGAGGCCCCAGGGATAGGGCAGCAGGGCAGGGAGCTCGAGCCCGCAGTGGGCAGCCTACCCTGCGCACAAACCTGTGGAGCACATGCTCCCCACGCTGCCCCGGGACTGTGTGCAGTAGCGGGGAGCCAGCTTCCTTCCCCTGCCCCCCAGATGAGCTACCCGTGGCCCCCTCCCACTCCCCACTGGAGCCCTATGACTGCGCATTCTGGCCCTGGGCCCCAAGCCCCATGCACCACCCCAGCTGGGTACCAGCCCCAGCCCTGCCCAGCTCCCTCCCTCATTATGGGGGCCTCAATCCCCAGCCTCCCCCTTTCAGATTTACCTGTGGGGAGCTGCTCCCCAGGCTGCCTAATAGCCATGTACATGTGTGCATGTGCACATACACATAGCACATTTCTCCTTAAAATGAGAAAAATCCTCATTTTTCCACGGCAAATGGAAAACTTGGAAAAACTCATCACAAAAACAAGTACATCACATACAGATTTAATAATTTGTTTCAGCTTAATTGATCCAGTAACTACTTGGTGTGTGACCTTGATCAAGTCAACTCTTCCTTCTGGGCCATTCCTTGCTTCTTGTTCTTTGCCTTGTCTAAACAGTGCATGGCAGAACCTCGCTCAACGTGCGTCTCTTGTGGCTAGTGCAACAGGGCCCTTACTTCTGCTAGGAGCTCCAGGGACTCTATTAACACATATGTTGTGACTGGTCTCTAGCCAACCTCTTATTTTTCAAATACATTTTTAATGGCCAGAAAGTCTGTTTTAAACTTAATCCAGCTGATTTGTGTGGAACATGTACATCTCGTTTATTATATGATGGTGGTAGTTAGTGTTTATAGCAATGGGGAAGTTAGTTAAAAAGCCATGCTGTAAACAGGTATGTTTGTGTTATCCTGTTGCATGTAAGGAGCGACATGAAGCTGTTGTACGCCGCACAATCGAGAGGAGCCAGAAGCCGAAACAAAAGCAAAACAGGTGGTCCTGGGGTGGAGCTCTTCATAGCAGCGGCATTAATAACACAGGTAAAGGGGGAGATCCAGTGTCTCAGCCAAGGTTCCTGTTTTTATGCTGATTGGGGTATGCCTTGTTCTGATACACAGGAGGATGCTGCAGTGTGAGTTGGCTTATGTTCTTTATGCTTCATCTTAGCACTGTTTTGAATATGAACAAATTTCTTAATGTTATACTCGGCAGAGAAGAAAGAAAGGAAAAGTAAACTGAATCTTACTTTTCACCAAGGAATTAAGTAAACCTACACTTCTATCTATAGCTACAACTTCTAACTTCTGCTGTTTTGCTTGTATAAGTACACATGTGTGTATAGGCCTACCTAAGCCACTGCATGCAAGTACCATAGGGAGTATCATAAAATTATATAAAGAATTTCTGCTGGCAATGATCAAGTCTTACTCTTGAGATCATACAAGTAGGAAGGGGAAAATGTTCTAATAAATGCTGTATTATTTATAATACTTATCAAATGTTCAGGAACACAGAGTTTGGAGGATTTTTCCCCGTTTCTCCTTAAGAAATTAAAGATTGACAAAAATGTTAAATGTAACAGAAATTTTTCCTCCTTTTCATATCTGAAATGGATATCTAAATCTGCGTAAGCTGCTTAAGAAATGTGTTTTGTTTTTAATGCATACATTTCAATGACTATTTCATCCTTTCATCAAGGAAAAATAACATGTGCAGCTGTCTGCTCCAGGACAGAAAATCGTAACCTTGCATATATTTCATTTTAAATTTAGTGTTAAAGGTTATGAAGAGGTTCTATTTGTTACTTACCTTACCTTTATGTAACTTACTTGCTTTTTTGCTTTCTTTCCTTTGAAAAACATCCTTGTCTTGCATTCTGTCCCTAGGTTTTTTTGTTGAATCATCATTCACCTTTCTCGATTTAGCTGGCCTGGAGCACCATTTCAGATCTCTGGGTGGTGCTAGAAAACCTGGTACATAAGTCACTGTGGTTTGTCAATTCCTTCCCCTGTAGCTAGTCCTCAAGAAATAGGACCAGTAACTAAACCACCATTACTTAGACATGATGCATGCTTAACACCATGCTCCCTAGACTAAAATTGTTGTTAGCCCCCAATGTTTTTTGATTTAGTTTTGTTTGGTTTTGCTTTTGTTTTTTGTTTGTTTTTGTGGTTTTAAGTACAGAGAATTATTACTGACTGACTTAAAGGATTTGGCACAATTCACAAAAATACTATGTGCAATGGGTACAGTGTATTGTATCATGTTGCTTTGAGTTAAATTCTACAAACAATTCTAATCAACTAAAAATGCTCCTTTGGAGTTCAAGAAGAATTTGAATGCCTACATTGGGCTCTATTTTGGCTTTGCTTTAATTTTGTTATATTGTACATGACTGTTGTTTATTTTTATTCTGCCCATCTCCTAGGCATCTGATTAGTTGCATTGGCTGGGATTTTGCTCAAAAAATATTGAAAACATTTTACTGCTTTTCTAACTAAGGAATGGTGTTTGGCCAGTTACGTATTAAACAGAAGTATTCAAACTGAACAGTACTCATTGAGGAATAATGTACATGGACATGGTTTATGAGAACTGGGTGACAAGAGATATGTAAGAGAGACTTCCTCAAGTGGATGTGCTTTATACTTAATCACCAGTGGTTAGAGTGGCTTAAATCCTGGAATGCAGAGTTCCATCCATCTCCGTTCCAATTCTCTTTCATCAGTGTTATCAACAATTGGATGTTCTTGTGCTCCATGTGAAGTAACAATAGATAAAACAGCGTCAAAAGCAGTTGTTCTGTGGTAGTGGATAAAAAAATCAAATTGAAAAAAAATCCTCTCCTTTTCATCCCTCTACAGCTGTCTCATACACTTTATCACTCATATGAAGAGCATTAAGGATTAGTGGGGATTTTCATGCAAAACAATTTTTGTCTGCAACAAATGTATTTAAATGCAATTGGTAAGAACAGCTATATCTAGTGTTGATGTACTAAGTATCATGAAAATCTAGCTAAAAGGTAAATAATCTCTTTTAAAAAATGACCTCTTTACTGTTGCTGAGATTGTTCAGACAAATCCTGATTTAAGAGATGACTTAAGCATGTGCTCAGGCCGTACTGGATTTCCATATATGAACTTCAGTGTTTTGTTGAACTGTAGCACATGCTTAAAGTACTTTGCTGAGCTGGGGCCATAAAAGTTGCCAAGAACAAACTGTAAGTCTCTTTTGATCTTTTCATTGTCCGATTCCCAAACAGAAATCTGCCTTGGACGAGCTTTTATTTAGGTACTTGTTTCCCTCTCCACCCCGAACCAATTTAGAGAAGAGAATGCACAGGGTCTGCCTGTTTGGCTGGCCAGTTCCTCATTTTATTCTGCTGCCCTTAACCTCTTTTGAAACAGAAAGCATATATAATCCATACTTGTGAAGCAACCATCCCATTTCAATAGAGTGAAAATACTGACTTTGCATCAATTCAGTGTGCAAGTGGTGTAGCATGACACTGTGTTCTAAAATCCACCAAGCATAAAGGCACAATAAAGCCCTTTTAATACCATGTACAAAGCCTGTGCCTTGTAAATATTCTTTAGCCTTCCACAGAGCATTTACTTCCTTTGTCTATTGCATTACATGCAGTATTGGACTGACGAGATTTTCCACCTACATTATATGAAGACAAATGACTCTGTCATATGGAACACAGAACCCTTAAGCCTTTAGTCTTACCTTTGATTTTTTTCCTGTGCACACCATTATTTGCTCTTTCTCCTCACTTTCCTTCCCTTGTATTTTATCTTCCAGTTCTGTATCTTCATAATATTATCCTATCTCTTCATGGTATCAACCTCCTGGTTCACAACCAGACACTACTAAATATCTTCTCTTATAAATGGTATCCATATGTCTAGGAAAGCAAATCCTTCTTAATTTTCCATTTTGCCTGATCAAGAGGGCAACCTTTCTGTAAATGCATTGAGATGAACATTGACACCTCATCTTGTGCATTAGCAGCCCGGATCTGCCACACCGAAACCTTGACTCACAGCCTGGATGTTTATGTGCAATTTAGTTTTTAAAAAAAGCTTTGTGCCAAATCTTTTAAGTCGCCAATAAATTGTTTGCTGAGAAATCATTTCATTCTTGTTTTTTTTAAGTTCTAGTGGTAGATCAGAAATTCTCTTGTTCTTGTTTCCTTCTCCCATTAGTGAACTAGGAAGTTGCATTATTGCATGTGGGCTGTCAATTAGCATTATCTCCATTTGTTTTAGATCCAGACAGGCGGTCTGTTTCAACAATGAACCTTTCGAAACATGTTGATCCAGTCATTAACAAGCGGCTCTCCTCCTCATCTGCAACATTACTAAATTCTCCAGACAGAGGTACATTAAAAAAAAAAGAAAGAAAAGAGAGAGAGACAGATTAAAAAAAAAAAGTTTGGTATGGATGTGCTGTTTTTAACAATCTCTGCAGATAAAATAAGTATCTGAAGTCATTTTCTGTGTATTATTTAAACAGGAATGAAAAGACTTCAAATGTGAAAAGGAGTAGATAGTTGAACGTGTTCCTTGCAAGGAAATATATTTCTCATATTTAAAAAAAGAGCTTGCCTGAAAAATCTTATTTAGCAAGTGCTAAAAGCAGTGCTTCTGTCAGGTTTTTAGTAAATGAGATACAATTATAGAAACAACACATCTCTTCATAGCGCATGTAACCATTTTATTTGTGCACATTTATTTCCATTGGGCCATGTTATCATGTTTCTTTTTTCATTTGTATTTTGGTTCTAACTCTGGAATTTCTGAAAACATTGCACAAAGTTCTTCAGCAGTTAGTATGTATCCATGGCTGATTTATTCGTAACTGAAGATGTGGCTTGTGTGATGTCTGTGTATTGATTTTTTTTCTGTGTTCATTTAGTTGTAAAAGACAGCTCCATTTCACAAATGCTTTGATATTTGCAGGTCTTCACAAAGGACTGACAATCAGACCTGTTAATTAAGAGAGTAACATACAGTATTTGAGTTGCTGCTTTTATTTCAAGGATTTATGAAAAGTAATGATGAGCTTAAAAGGAGATTTGTAAAATACTAGTATGTTTGATAGCCTCCTCTGATCAGAAATGGCACCTAACTTTTTGATGAAGTATGCTGCAGTAACCACTTCTTCATCCTCAGCAGAGTATAAAATGAATATTCTACCTCGCCTCCCAGATTTGATTTTCTGTACAAGATGGCTCCATAATGTATTTTTAAGAGTGCCATTTTGGGTTGTACTTTGAGTTGTACTGTGAAACTTGTTGGAAATCCTCATTATTTGTCTCTTAAAGAAAATGGCCTGCTAATGTGTTTGTTTCTGTATGGGTTTTTTTTTCCTTTTTTAACTTTTTATCCAGGCAGCTATAAAAACAAACTGCAACACAGGAGGCATATGTAGGAATTGCATGAGGCTGAAGCTATTACATATTTACAAAGGAAATAATATGCAACAATTCTTACAATATGTTCCCTATACCTGCAATTTAAAGATTATCTATGTAAAAAGATAAGTAATATTGAGTAATATTTTAATATTTAAAGCATTTGGCTATAGACTCTGGCTTCCTTGCTGGAAATTTTTTACCCTCGGTTCAGGACAGGAATGGAATTCATATTTCTAAATATCTTTCCCTCTTTTGTCTCTTTTCTAATAATCTAACCTGATGGGGCAATCACTCCATCATCAACATGTCCCTTATTTTAGTATCCTACATTTTCAGTGTAGGGGGATTTTGATTCCATCCACATGTGAGAAATTCCTAATCTAGCAGCTAAAAGCAGAAAGGATCTTATCTTTTCATTCCAGACAAAGTATATATGTGTTTCTGTATGAGTCTGTTTTTATATTATATATACTTACTAATATAGGTAATAATATTACATATAATGTTAGGTATATGTAAAATTGTTTCTTATGGTTTAAAATAGTTACTGAGACTCTGCTAATTCCGGAGAAGTATACCATAGTTCTAGGAAATTATTTAATTCAAGAACAAAAGGGTTTTGCCTTCGCTTTGGAATTTAAGATACTCATTTTATTACCCTTGATGTTTTGCATTAACAACTAATAAAGATATGGCTTTATTTTCAGAAGTGTTGCTGAAAAATCCTGGGAAAGCAGTGGTGGTTGTGGAACATGCCAAATATTTCTATGAGGACTGTATCACACTGTTGCTGAGTTTGCCAATCACTTAATATAGGTTGGTGAGAAACAGAATAGGTTAGTTTCAGTCAGTTGGACTGTTTTAAAAAGATTCCAAAGACTAACAGATTTGTAAAATGGATATTTTATACATAGTTCATCTGGGAGGGCAATACAGCAGTGCACAGGCAATCCAGGAAGGTTTTGGAGAGTGTTGGGGACAACTTCCTGGTGCAAGTGTTAGAGAGACCAACTAGGGCCCGTGCTCTTTTTGACCTACTGCTCACAAACAGGGAAGAATTGGGAGGGGGGATATAGAAGTGGATGCATCTGAGCTGCAGTCACCATGAGATGATTGAGCTCAGGATCCTGAAGAAAGGAAGAAAGGAAAGCAGCAGGGTATGGACCCTGGACTTCAGAAAAGCAGACTTTGACTCCCTCAGGGAACTGATGGGCAGCATCCTCTGGGAGGCCAGTCTAAGGGAGAAAGGAGTCCAGGAGAGCTGGTTGTATTTTAAAGTATGGGTTGGATGAATGGACTATAAGGTGGATAGAAAGCTGGCTGGATTATGAGGCTCAATGGGTAGTTATCAATGGCTCAATGTCTACCTGGCAGCCAGTATCAAGTGGATTGCCCCAGGGAGTCAGTTGTGGGCAGTTTTGTTCAATATCTTCCTGAATGATCTGGAAGATGGGAAGGATTGTGCCCTCATTAAGTTTGCGGATGACACCAAGCTGTGGGGTATAGTAGATACACTAGAGGGTAGGGCTAGGATTCAGCGACCTACACAAATTGGAGGATTGGGTCAAAAGAAATCTTATGAGGTTCAACAAGGGCAAGCGCAAACCTGCACTTAGGATGGAATGCAGAAAAGGACTTGGGGGTTACAGTGGACATAAGATGGGTATGAGTCAGTAATGTTGCCAAGAAGACTAACAGCATACAGGGCTGCATTACTAGGAACACTGCCAGCAGGTTGATGGCAGTAATTATTCAGTTTTATTCTGCACTGGTGAAGCCATATCTAGAGTACTATGTCCAGTTTTGGGCCCCCCACCTAAGAAAGGATGTGGACAAGTTGGAGAGAGTCCCGTGGAGAGCATTAAAAATGGTTTGGAGGCTGGGGCACATGACTTCTGAGGAGAGACTGAGGGAACTGGGTGTATTTACTCTGCAGAAGAGAAGACAGAGGGGATTTAATAGGGCTTCAACTAGGGCTGTGCGAAATTTCGACGGGTGTTTCATTTCAAAGCTATTTTGGCACATTTCGAGCTCGAAACAGTGAAATCGAAACAAAAGGCTTTGAAACAAAACGAGGGCACCCGAAAAGTTTTGAAACGTTTAAAGTTTTGAAGCCAGGCTTGTTTGCAGCTAAATATAAGCTAAGGAGAGGGAGGGGAGAAGATGGGGAACTGCTCTCTGATATTGACATCTAGCTCCCAGTTCGATTCCCCAGTTCTCTGATCATTTCCCCAGTTCCTTCCAGGGGCCACAGGCCCTGACCTGTGCGTGAGGTTTCAGCAGACTGCTGCTGCAAGCTGGGGCCAGTGCCAGCACCCAAGTCTGCCCGGTGCAGCTGGCGCCAAGTGCCAGGAAGAAACCAGTGCTGGTGCTGGCCCTAGCCGTCAGTGGCAACCTGCTGTCATCCCGCGCGCAGGTCCAGGGATCCACACCCCCCAGGAGTGCTGCGGGACTGCTCTCCTAGGGGGAGCAGGCCCCTGGATCTGGGTGCAGGGTGACAGCAGGTTGCCACTGCCAGCAAGTGATAAGAGTTTTTCTTTGAACAGTTTGAGGTGCAGTTTTACAAAAACCCCTGCACCTATCTCCTTGAAACTTGGCAGGCTTCATGCCCTCAGAAGGGGCTACCATTCTGGCAATGCTCATCTGAATCAGGCAGGAAATGACAAAGTTATAGGCATTTTTGTGATTCCCCATGATAGCCTATGGTCAAAACAGCATTGAAACAGTGAGACAGTTTTGATAAAACAAAATGGAACAGTGTTTTGAAACAGCAAAACTAAACACTGTCCCTTTGAAATGGTGAAAAGGAAGTCAAAATGAAACGGTGCTGTTTCACACAGCCCTACCTTCAACTACCTGAAGGGGGTTCCAAAGAAGATGGAGCTTGACTGTTGTCAGTGGGGGCAGATGACAGAACAAGGGGCAATGGTCTCAAGTTGCAGCAAGGGAGGTTTAGGTTGGATATTAGGAAAAACTTTCTCACTAGGAGGGTGGTAAAGTACTGGAAAAGGTTACCTAGAGAGGTGGTGGAATCTCCATCCTTGGAGGTTTTTAAGGCCTGGCTTGACAAAGCTTTGGCTGGAATGGTCTAGGTGGAAATGGTCCTGCATTGAGCAGGGGTTTGGACTAGGTGATCTCCTGAGGTCCCTTCCAACCCTCATTTTTTATGATTCTATGATTCTAGTAGCATGGATAAGAAGGATGCAGGTACAGATTTGTGCTAGTATCTATTATGCAAAATTCCCTTTGGACCAACTTATATTACAGCTAACAGCTTGTTAAATATATGTAAAAATAACTCTTCAAAATGTATTTTTACAGGAATGTACAGGCTTCTGATTGATGAAGGTTTGTACAGTATTTGAACATCCAAAACACTTTCTATAGAAGTTATTTTTAACGCAGCATTTATAAAGAACTACTGCATGGTTTCCTGAGCTAAGTGTAAGGAAATAATGCACAACCTGATATCTCTATGTGCTGTTGAAAAGATGCTGGCTAACAGTGTTTTTCCATCAACAGCCAGCATAAATATCAGGTATTAATAGTGTTGTGGTGATATTGTTGCCATGACAGTCCAGGAAATATGTGAGAGGCAAGAAATCTTGTGGGTGATATCTTTTATTGAACTAGCTGAATAGTTGGGATAGACATAGGCAAGCTTTCAGGTATCGCATTAGCCTTCCTTGGGCCTCTGGGAGAGAAACAAACAACTCAGAGCTTAGTAGCAGATGGAATAAAATCTTGTGAAAAACTCCATATGTAAACAAAAACAGGGTATATGAGAAATTAGCAGGTAATCCACAGGCAGGAGAGTTGCAGTTAAAATCTGATAAGGGAGGAGCAGGATTGTTCAGGAGGGTTTTATCACCTGTCACATGCAGAGGTTAGCCAGTATCAGGGAGATTATAACGGACCATAAAGTCATTGTCTATGTTAAGTCTCTGGTATTTAGTATCC